AAAAAAAGGATGTACATTTTGTTTGGATGCAGCATTGCATGACCGCGGAATTTTCAGTTGAATTAGTGCAGCGCCGAGTAGCAAAAAGAGGCGTGGTCATTAAGGGGGGTAAATCCTCAGGAGGCCAAGTGGTTAAGGATGTGCCAGCTGCCGCCTGCTCCTTGACAACCAGCTACTCCAAATAGAACAAAATGAATTCCAAAGATACAAAATGAATTCTGAAAAGAATCGGTTGAATTAATGAATGCATCCAAAATGAAATTCTTCAGTTAATGAATGCGTCCCAAATGAAACAAGGATTTGCGGCATGCACATGTCTAGAAAATAATAATTCGGGGAACCCGCTGGCCCTGTAAAGCTGGTGACACGTAACAAGGATCCAGTGGGTACAAAGCATGGAACTGCATGCTGCCACTGGTAATATGATTCCAGCTCTTCACTGATTGGTCTAGTGTAGGCTTTCTCAACCAGGGTTCCGATGGTTACCTCAGCTCCCTTCTCTCCCATCTAGGGAGAGGGGGTGGTTGGGTGGGTGGGCTTTCTGGGGGGGGGGGGTCATTGTGGGAGGAGCATTGTGGCACCCCAAGAGACTCTTGGGTTTTTTTTTTAGTTTTATTTTGTTTTTGCTTTTTGGGGGCTGGAGGTGCTGGAGGATGAGTAGGTTGGGGGCCTTTATGGGAGGGCTGGGGGTGGTTGTGTTCTGTGGGGGGTAGCTGGTTTCCATCGGGGAGGCAGTAGGTGGTATGCACTCAGGGGACACTTCTATACCATCGTTGAGTGTCCGGCACAGGAGGTCCTTCCATACCGGGGGTGGGGGGTCCTCATGACTGGGTATGTACACCGGGTCTCTGATGCAATGTTTTGCACTGTATATGTTTTATGGAATAAATTAGCTTTGAGGTTAGCCTTTTAGGTGTGCAGCCTATTTTCTTTTTTCTTGTTTTTTTGCAATATATTTTAGGTAGAATCCTTCCAGTTAAACTCTGGTGGCACCAGGGGCGGACTGGCCATTTGGGAGCTCGGGCACTGCCCGAGAGCCCGCGGTCAGTAGGGGGCCCCATGAGATGCCCCTGGTACCTTTTTCATAGGCTTTTTTGAGTTTGGGCAAGGACACAGGGGCCCCATGATCCCCTATTGCCCGGGGGCCCCATGAGTTGTCAGTCCGCCCCTGGGTGGCACCTCACAATTTTCTTTTTCCCAGTGTATGTGGACTCCCCGGCTTTTCCGTATCCCTTTTTCCCTCTCTTTTATAATTCCTCTAGAGGTTGCCAGGGGTTCCTTGAGCAATGAGCAATTTTTGCTTCTCAGGTAAGTTCCCACTGACACCATTAATCTTTTTAGCACTCCTAATGGGGTAATTCTTCCCAAAAACCACAAGGAGCATTCTTATCTCTGACTATCGCACTAATGTATCATGAATTGTGGATAAAGTCATTTTAGCAGGGGTTCCCTGAGGCCGGAAAGTTATGTCAAGGGTTCCTCTGCGTTGAAAAAGGTTGAGAAAGGCTGGTCTAGTGAGAACCCAACCAGATTGGTCTGGTAAATGTGTCAGTGAGTCCATTAACCCCTCATGAAAGGAGTGGGAAAGTTTTGGCCCCCAAAACATGTTGGCTATTTTTTGTGATCTCACGTTGAACCATTAAATTGATTTGGACTCCTGGATCTGGACCAGGTTTGGCCCTCCTGTTGAGCTTTCATGCTTTGAGGTTTTTACGGTCTGGGAAGGTTCACCCCTCTATGGGTGTCCAGACTGTGATGGGAGTTCCCACATTGTACAGAATCGAGGGAATGTTCCAATGGAGAGTCTTGTTCCGGTGACAACTGCACCTTGGAGAGATTTCTTGTCACTCTAGGACAGAATGTGAAGGGAAATCACCCCAACGGGACACAGAAAACAAAAAAAAAAAAGGTTTCGCCACTAGATATTTTTTCTGAAGTCCAGATTTGACGGGAGGTTATCTGTAACCAGGACGCCTTGTCTGTGCTGACTCAAAGAGTCCCAAGTGGTGTCAAAGGGCGCACTCCGTATAATGTGATGCTTTGTAACTGCTGGAGGAAAGATAATAGACAAGCACTTAGAAACTTCATCATTTTTCCAACACAATAGTACAGGACACATTGCGACAACCCGCTGCGCGGCGAGGCCGATCGGCTTGGCTGCCCTTCAACTTGCCGGCAATATTTCCATCGGAGCGGAGCTGAGAAAATGACAAATCTGACTATTTATGCGCCTTGTGTCTTGTAAAAGCGAGCACGCCGGATACTTAGTGATTGAATTAGCGCTCATGTCAGATGCATCTCGCAGCCTTTTTAAAGTCTAATTGAGGGAAAGCGATGGAAAATATGACGGCTTTATTTCCTAAAGACGGGAGAACAGAGACATTAGAGGGACAAATACAATGCAGAATGACTTACCGAGCTCCATAAAGAACAGACAGAGGAGAATAGAGATCATTATCAGCATACTGAACTTTATTTATTATATGGGGGGGGATCTCAGAGAGAGAGAGAAGTATGAAGGAAGGGAAGGATGGAGGGGGGAAAGGAATGGAAAGAAGAAGGATGGAAATATAAAGGGAAGGGAGGGAAGAAGGATGAAGGGAAGAAGGAAGGAGGGAAGGGAAGGGATTGAGGAAGGGAAGGATGGAGGGGAAAGGAATGGAAAGAAGAAGGATGGAAATATAAAGGGAAGGGAGGGAAGAAGGATGAAGGGAAGAAGGAAGGAGGGAAGGGGAAGGGATTGAGGAAGGGAAGGATGGAGGGGAAAGGAATGGAAAGAAGAAGGATGGAAATATAAAGGGAAGGGAGGGAAGAAGGATGATGGGAAGAAGGAAGGAGGGAAGGGGAAGGGATTGAGGAAGGGAAGGATGGAGGGGAAAGGAATGGAAAGAAGAAGGATGGAAATATAAAAGGGAAGGGAGGGAAGAAGGATGAAGGGAAGAAGGAAGGAGGGAAGGGGAAGGGATTGAGGAAGGGAAGGATGGAGGGGGAAAGGAATGGAAAGAAGAAGGATGGAAATATAAAAGGGAAGGGAGGGAAGAAGGATGAAGGGAAGAAGGAAGGAGGGAAGGGGAAGGGATTGAGGAAGGGAAGGATGGAGGGGAAAGGAATGGAAAGAAGAAGGATGGAAATATAAAGGGAAGGGAGGGAAGGGAGGGAAGAAGGATGACGGGAAGAAGGAAGGAGGGAAGGGGAAGGGATTGAGGAAGGGAAGGATGGAGGGGAAAGGAATGGAAAGAAGGATGGAAATATAAAGGGAAGGGAGGGAAGAGAAGGATGAAGGGAAGAAGGAAGGAGGGAAGGGGAAGGGATTGAGGAAGGGAAGGATGGAGGGGAAAGGAATGGAAAGAAGAAGGATGGAAATATAAAAGGGAAGGGAGGGAAGAAGGATGAAGGGAAGAAGGAAGGAGGGAAGGGGAAGGGATTGAGGAAGGGAAGGATGGAGAGAAAAGGAATGGAAAGAAGAAGGATGGAAATATAAAGGGAAGGGAGGGAAGAAGGATGAAGGGAAGAAGGAAGGAGGGAAGGGGAAGGGATTGAGGAAGGGAAGGATGGAGGGGAAAGGAATGGAAAGAAGAAGGATGGAAATATAAAGGGAAGGGAGGGAAGAAGGATGAAGGGAAGAAGGAAGGAGGGAAGGGGAAGGGATTGAGGAAGGGAAGGATGGAGGGGGAAAGGAATGGAAAGAAGAAGGATGGATGTCATTTGAATGCACAAAAGACATGACATTGCTGATTACCTCATAGCCACTTAGCGTACTAATACAGTACAGACGGCAGTACTTTTAATTATTTCTGAAAAGTTTTGTAAATGTTCCAGTATGTGGTGACCGTGCAGGGGGCGGACTGACCATTTGGGCACTCGGGCACTGCCAGAGGGCCCCATGAGATGCTCCTGGTACCTTTCATACGCTTTTTTGGGTGTGGTTTGAGTGTGGGTAAGGACACAGGGGCCCCATTATCTCCTATTGCCCGGGGGCCCCATGAATTTTCAGTCCACCCCTGTGACCGTGTAGTCTCAGCGCGTTTCGTTGTTCTCTTTCTAAGGAGACAAGAGGCCATATTGCAACTGAAAAAACAGTGGCATGTCTGTAATTCACATAGGAACTAAGCCCGCTCTCACTGAGATCTAGCGGCTATGCCCCTTGTGAGGGGCAATGGGAAGAGGAGGCCCATGATGACACCTGAGGAGGACAAGCCAGGACACTAATACTTGATGGTTACACCTATCAACCATTGTTCATAGGAGTTGACATGTATAAGCTCTCCAGGGGTAGTTCCTTGCCCGCATTCAAGCTTTATAAAAATTGTCCCGTTATAGAACCAAATACTGATACCATGGATGGTACCTTTCAGGTGTGCTGGCCTCCTCCTCCCTCCCTGGAAGTCCAGGTTGAAAGTATATCTTTTTAGTTTTAACAAAATAGAGGAAATTTCCACACTTGTCATTAGAACAGGTGTCCCCACTGGAAGATCTTCCCTCTCTTCCTGTTCCGGTGTAAAAAGTTGGATTTCCCATCAGGTCTTGGTTTGGTACCCACCATAATTCGAGTCCTTGGTCAAACAAAAAAGAGAATGAAGTGGTTTGATTCTACTGGAATGTTACTGACTATGCCAGGAGAAGGTACGGGCTGAAAGCCGTGATCCTTGATGAATGGGGTATATAAAGCCAGCTCCCTTGTTTGAGTTCCTTTTTTTACCATCAGGTTTTGGTTTGGTACTGACCATAACTTGAGTCCTTGGTTGAGCAAGACATAAATTGTGATTGCGGCAGTTTCATTTTTCTGGAGTTTTCTGACTATACCAGAACCAGCATGGTCTGAAAGCCAAGATCCGTGAAGCATGGAGTATACACGGTCCTTGGTACAATCCAGAAAGACTTGGAACACCTTTAACAGATCCTTCAACCTGCTCTGCTCCAGACCATCTCTCTACCTTTCAGACTGCATCTTCCTGATTTTGGTCAATAAACAAAAGGTCAAATATTGAATGACTATAATCAGAAACATTGGTGAAAGAATGGGTCGCTCTCAGGAGCTCAGTGACTCCAAGCGTGGTCCCGTGATAGGTGGCCACCTGGGCAATAAGTCCATCCGTGACATTTCCTGGCTACTAAATATTCCACGCTCAACTGTTAGTGGGATTATAACAAAGTGGAAGCAACTGGGAACAGCCACTAAGTGGTAGGTCACGTCACATGACAGGGCGGGGTCAGCGCATGCTGAAGCGCACAGTGCGCAGACGTCGCCAACTGTCTTCAGAGTCAATAGCTAAAGACCTCCAAACTTGTTGTGGCCTTCAGGTGAGCCCAACAACAGTGCGTAGAGAGCTTCATGGAATGGGTTTCCATGGCCGAGCAGCTGCATCCAAGCCTTCCATCACCAAGTGCAATGCAAAGCGTTGGATGCCATGGTGTAAAGCACGCCGCTACTGGACTCTAGAGCATGGAGATGTGTTCTCTGGAGTGACCAATCACGCTTCTCTGTCTGGCAATCCGATGGACATCTCTGGGTTTGGCAGTTGCCAGGAGAACTGTACTCACCTGACTGCATTGTGCCAAGTGTAAAGTTTGGTGGAGGGGGGATTATGGTATACGGTCCTTTTTCAGGGGTTGGGCTTGGCCCCCTAGTTCCAGTGAAGAGAACTCTTAAGGCGTCAGCATACCAAGACATTTTGGACAATTTCATGCTCCCAACTTTGTGGGAAGAGTTTGGGGATGGCCCCTTCCTGTTCCAACATGACTGCGCATCAGTGCACAAAGCAAGGTCCATAAAGACATGGAGGAGCCAGTTTGGGGTGGAGGAACTTGACTGGCCTGCACAGAGTCCTGACCTCAACCCCATAGAACACCTTTGGGATGAATTAGAGTGGAGACTGCGAGCCAGGCCTCCTCCCCCGACATCAGTGCCTGACCTGACAAATGTGCTTCTGGAAGAATGGTCCAACCTTCCCATAGACACCCTCCTAAACCTTGTGGACGGCCTTCCCAGAAGAGTTGAAGCTGTTATAGCTGCAAAGGGCGGGGCCAACTCAATATTGAACCCTACGGACTAAGACTGGGGGGGCCATTAAAGGTCATGTGTGTGGAAAGGGTGGGGCCAACTCAATACTGAACCCTACGGACTAAGACTGGGGGGCCATTACAGGTCATGTGTGTGGAAAGGGAGGGGCCAACTCAATATTGAACCCTACGGACTAAGACTGGGGGGCCATTAAAGGTCATGTGCGTGGAAAGGCCGGCGGCCCAATACTTGGGGCAATATAGTGTATATTCAGTAGTAACAAACACAAATTTTTTTTAAAAAATGTACATTTTATTACGAAAGTTAGAAATTATACATCAAAAGAGTCTCTTATAAACTAGGTTACACAAAGAGCTTTCACTCCCCAAAGAGGGGGAAAGGAGAGACATGTACAGGGGCAGTATTATAACTTGTATTGTTTTTTTTTTTTTTTAATTCTGGATTGATCTTCCCTAGGTTGTATAACTATACGAAAAAGCTTTATCTGCAGTCCTGATGAAGCAGAAACTCTGTGAAACGCGTTGCCCGATATATTTCTCTGAGTACCAATCATCAGTTGTACAATTTACCAATCCTTTTATCCCCACTCTCTGTTTTTAAGGGCCTATTTTGATGTATAATTTTAAACTTTTGGATTTGTAATAAAAATAAACTTTTTAAATTTTTTTTTTTTGTAATTGTTGCTATTGAATATTTGTATAACATTGATCGGCCATATCTAATGTGTTGGATAGAATTTTCCTCGGTTTTCGCCCACGATCTGCTTATTAATATTCCTAAGCACCATGCTGGGGATGCAATAATAAATCCTCCCCATGGTGGAATGTTCTCCTCTTCAAGAGCCGGCAAACAAGACTTTACACAGCTGCTGGCACTCAATCCCGGTTGACCAAACAGGGCGATTGCTGATCATATGATTGCCATCAGCTCTGACTTATTTATTTATTTCAGGTACTTATAAAGCGCCGTCAATGTACTCCACGATTTACATATATATTGTACATTCACATCAGTCCCCGCCCCCGAGGAGCGTACAATCTAAGGTCCCTAACCCTCAAGGGGCGTACAATCTAAGATCCCTAACTCACATTCATACATACACATACTAGGGACAATTTAGACAGGAGCCAATTCACCTACCAGCATGTCTTTGGAGTGTGGGAGGAAACCGGAGTACCCGGAGGAAACCCACGCAAGCACAGGGAGAACATACAAACTGCAGGCAGGTGGTGCCATGGTTGGGATTCTGAACCAACGACCCGAGTACTGCCAGGCGGAAGGGCTAACCATTTAGCCACTGTGCTTAGTAATCACATGCAGATGTCAGGACGCCATCTTGATCCGAGACACGCGAATGTTAGTACAAAGGCCAGGCACTTCCACCCGTGTCCTGCATGGGTGCGCTTGGATAGTATTTTCCTCAGTTGGTGCTCTGTCACTGGGATGATGACCCTCACTGTCCCATATACTCGATGTGATCGATTGCACTGGGATCCCTTTCCTTTGATAAGTCTGGGGAAGGGGTTAACCCAATCCCACTCCCATAGACGGCATATCTTTAGCTGTAACCAGGCCGGAGTCGCCCTTTAATTTCACCAACTGGAAAGTGATGACATTCATGCCATGAAAATTCAGGGAAGACAAAGTGTCGGATGTCGTGCACTATGACTGGTGACATCCCATGTAATTGCATTCCTATGAAATCTGCCCTTTTCTGCGCTTATTAAATTTTACAAGTGATGTAATCGGAAAGGACAAGCCGTTCATTTCTCCTCCACTTCGGCTGAATTTTACTAATGGACATAATGGGCAGGAGGCGAATCCTCGGCGGGCAGCGCTGCTCTGCAGGGGGATAGTCTGGGATATATCATCATTACCAGCCTGCAGGAAGATGGCATTACCTGTCCTAATATTTACTGTGCAGAGTCCAGGGGCAGAGATGACCGCACTGCATGGGATACACCGCCATTATTCCCAGGTCCGGGGAAAACGCCAGGAAAATAGGGATGAGCTTTGGGATTGGGACAAACATAACCCCCCCCCCCACACACACACACAAGCCCCTACAGGACTGGATATGGGAAGAGGCCCCTCCCACATGGAAGAAAAATATATTTGAAATGCTACAACTTTGGCCGTATTCAATATATTTAAAAACATATTTAAAAAAAATATTAAAAAAATAAAAAAATAAATATATATATATGCACTGTATGTTGAAATGCGTTTTTATTGCAAAATATATGACAAATATTTTTCAAAATACATTTTAAATATACTGTATGTCTTTAAAAATACCTCCCCCCCCCCACACACACACACACAAGCCCCTACAGGACTGGATATGGGAAGAGACCCCTCCCACATGGAATAAAAATATATTTGAAATGCTACAACTTTGGCCGTATTCAATATATTTAAAAACATACTTAAAAAAATATAAAAAATAAATAAAATAAAAAAAAAATAATATATATATATATATATATACAGTATATATATATATACATATATATATATATACATATACACACACACATATATATATATATACATATACACACACACATATATATATATATATATATATATATACAGTATATATATACATATATACACTTGTATGTATTTGTAAATATATGTATTTTTAAAAATATTTATCATATATTTTGCAATAAAAACACATTTCAACATACAGTATATATATATATATATATATATATATAGATATATAGATATATATACATATATATCTATATATATATATATATATAGATATATACATATATACATATATATATATATCTATATATATAGATATATATATATATACTGTATGTTGAAATGTGTTTTTATTGCAAAATATATGATAAATATTTTTAAAAATACATTTCAAACATACTGTATGTCTTTAAAGATACAAATCTACATTTTTTTTAATGCATTTACAAATATATGTTAAAATGGCTTTTTTATATGTTAAAAAAAAATCTGAAGAATATATTTTAAAAAATATATATATTTTTTAAAATATTTTTTTTTAAATATATTCTTCAGATTTATTTGGGGAGAATTTTTTTTAAGTATATTTCAAATATATTTTTCTTCCATATGAGCAGTGCCTCAAGCCTTTTCCCCCTTTCAAGGCACACCCCCAATGTTTAAATGCGTGTGGCCTTGTATGGCGCACACTCACTGTCCTCCTTCTCCTGGGTATCCAGGCTGTATGAATAGAAGGGGAACCCCACACTGTTTTTCTTTTTAATACAATAGGAGCCCCAGCCAATGCTAAAATTAAAAAAAAAAAAGGGGGGGGGGATCTATGACTGTAATATGAACCTCCTCCATTGGGCTGTCTCCTGCAGTACCCCTTCTTTATCACAAGATGTCCTCAGTCTTCTGAGTTGAATGATGGCCAGCCTCATTCAACCAGGGGCGGACTGACAATTCATGGGGCCCCCCCCGGGCAATAGGGGATCATGGTGGGGCCCCTGTGTCATTGCCCACACTCAAAGCACACCCAAAAAAGCCTATAAAAGGTACCAGGGGCATTTCATGGGGCCCCCTACTGACCCCAGGCCCTCGGGCAGTGCTCGAATGGTCAGTCCGCCCCTGCATTCAACCCATAAAAAATGGAGATGTACTATGAGTGGAGGACGTCATGGACCCACCCTCGCAGGGGATAAACTCTCGTTAAAAACGATAGCCCAATAAAAGATAAAATGTAAAAAAAAGAGAAAAAAAAGCTTTTGCTGCAATATTTTACCATCAATCCAGAGGTTTCACCTGCATCACTAGGTGTCCTCATACTAAATCATGTCAGGATCGACTAAACCACTTCCTCTGAACACAGTCGAATGTTATGAAGCTATTTCCTGTGCTGGTCGAATGTTTGTCATTTAAAGTGGAAAACACTGCATGTGGCCACTAGATGGTTCTGGGTATCATAGGAATTTTTAATGATACTTAGCGCCATCTAGCCTTCCCTTCATTCGTCCACAAGGTGTACCAGCTCCTCCCCTTCAGTCTTGCACAGGTGTACCGGCTCCTCCCCTTCAGTCTTGCACAGTTTTTCCAGCTCCTCCCCTACAGTCTTGCACAGGTGTACCGGCTCCTCCCCTTCAGTCTTGCACAGGTGTACCGGCTCCTCCCTTTGAGTCTTTCACAGGTGTACCTGCTCCTCCCTTTGAGTCTTTCACAGGTGTACTGGCTCCTCCCTTTCAGTCTTGCACAGGTTTACAAACTCCTCCCCTTCAGTCTTGCACAGGTGTAAGGGGCTCCTCCCCTTCAGTCTGGCACAGGTGTACCAGCTCCTCCCCTTCTGTCTTTTACAGGTGTATCGGCTCCTCCTCTCCAATCTTGCACAGGTGTATCGGCTCCTCCTCTCCAGTCTTGCACAGGTGTACCAGGGCCTGGTATGGCTTTTAGGGGGAACCCCACGCACTTTAAAAAAAAATTACTGTGGGGTCCCTCCTATCAGACCTAAAGGGCCTGGTAGGGACCCCATGCTGTCTTTGATTATTTATTTATTTCAGGTACTTATATAGCGCTGTCAATTTACACAGAGCTTTATATATATATATTGTACATTCACATCAGTCCCCCCGCCCCTGAGGAGCGTACAGTCTAAGGTCCCTAACTCACATTCATATATACTAGGGCCAATTTAGACAAGATCCAATTCACCTACCAGCATGTCTTTGGAGTGTGGGAGGAAACATGAGTACCCAGAGGAAACCCATGCAGGCACAGGGAGAACATGCAAACTCCAGGGAGAAGGTGCTGTGGCTGGGATTTGAACCAACGACCCGAGTACTGCCAGGCGGAAGTGCTAACCATTTAACCACTGTGCTTTTTTTTAATAAAAATGTCATTTAAAAAAAAAAAAAGTCAGTCCTGCTGCAGCGGGTTCTATACATTGTACAGATGTGCAACTATGCAGGTAGTTTAAGGGACCCCCCCAGGTATGATATTTAAAGGAATTTTTCAATTTTGTTTTTTACTTTAAGCAATGAAAAATGACTGCCCCTTTAAAAAGGTATTTTTCACTGATTCATGTCCCTCAGGGCCGTCCCCGAGTCCCCAAACCCCCTTTATGGCCAATAACTTGCATATAAGCCTTCAAATGGGCACTTTTGAATTTGCAAGTTCGAGTCCCATAGACCTGCATTAGGTTCGATGTTCGCTGTGAACTTTTGGTCCGTTCGAATGTTCTACTGCGAACCAGGAGGTGTTTGGCCCATCACTACTCTGCTCCTCTCTCCATTCTCTGTCTTCTATCCATCCTCTGCTCTTCTCTTCATCCTCTGCCCCTCTCTCCATCCTATGCTCTTCTCTCCATCCTCTGTCCTTTCTCCATCCTCTGCTCTTCTCTCCATCCTCTGTCCTCTCTCCATCCTCTGCTCTTCTCTCCATCCTCTGTCCTTTCTCCATCCTGCTCTTCTCTCCATCCTCTGTCCTCTCTCCATCCTCTGCTCCTCTCTCCATCCTCTGCTCCTCTCTCCATCCTCTGTTCCTCTCTCCATCCTCTGCTCCGCTCTCCATCCTCTGCTCCTCTCTCCATCCTCTGCTCCTCTCTCCATCCTCTGCTCCTCTCTCCATCCTCTGCCCCGCTCTCCATCCTCTGCCCCGCTCTCCATCCTCTGCTCCCTCTCTCCATCCTCTGCTCCTCTCTCCATCCTCTGCTCCTCCTCTCCATCCACTGCTCCTCTCTCCATCCTCTGCTCCTCTCTCCATCCTCTGCTCCTCTCTCCATCCTCTGCTCCTCTCTCTACATCATCTGTCCTCTCTCCATATTCTGCTCCCTCTCTACATCATCTGTTCTCTCTCCGTCCGTCTCTGCTCCTCTCTCCGTCCTCCTCTCCTCTCTCCGTCCTCTGTCCTCTCTCCATTCTCTGTTCCTCTCTCCATTCTCTGCTCTTTCTCTCTCCGTCCTCTGCTCCTCCTCTCTCCGTCCTCTGCTCTCTCTCTCCGTCATCTGTTCCTCTCTCCGTCCTCTGCTCCTCTCTCCGTCCTCTGCTCCTCTCTCCGTCCTCTGCTCCTCTCTCCATCCTCTGCTCCTCTCTTCTCCTCCATCCTCTGTTCCTCTCTCCATCCTCTGATCCTCTCTCCATCCTCTGCTCCTCTCTCCATCCTCTGTTCCTCTCTCCGTTCCTCTGATCCTCTCTCTCCTCCTCTCTCCTCTCTCCGTCCTCTGCTCCTCTCTCCATCATCTGCTCTTTCTCTCCTCCTCTGTTCCTCTCTCCGTCCTCTGATCCTCTCTCCGTCCTCTGCTCCCTCTCTCCGTCCTCTGATCCTCTCTCCGTCCTCTGCTCCTCTCTCCGTCCTCTGCTCCTCTCTCCGTCCTCTGATCCTCTCTCCGTCCTCTGCTCCTCTCTCTCCGTCCTCTTCCTCTCTCTCTCCGTCCTCTGCTCCTCTCTCCGTCCCTCTGCTCCTCTCTCCGTCCTCCTCTCTTCTCTCCATCCTCTGCTCCCTCTCTCCATCCTCTGCTCCTCTCTCCTCCTGCTCCTCTCTCTCCTCCATCCTCTGCTCCTCTCTCCTCCATCCTCTGTTCCTCTCTCCATCCTCTGATCCTCTCTCCATCCTCTGCTCCTCTCTCCATCCTCTGCTCCTCTCTCCATCCTCTGCTTCTCTCTCCATCCTCTGCTCCTCTCTCCATCCTCTCTGCTCCTCTCTCCATCCTCTGCTTCTCTCTCCATCCTCTGCTCCTCTCTCCATCCTCTGCTCCTCTCTCCATCCTCTGCTCCTCTCTCCATCCTCTGCTCCTCTCTCCATCCTCTGCTTCTCTCTCCATCCTCTGCTCCTCTCTCCATCCTCTGCTCCTCTGCATATAACTCCGGATAGCTCAGACTGACATCACCTATATGTCGGAGAGAAATCCACCTGCAGAGCTCCGCTCATCCACTGGGAGGCGCTCACAGCACACTGCCCAGCACAGGGGAAGACCCAGGAATCCTGAATCTTCCTTTCAGCAGTTTCAGAAGAGCTGTGAGGAAGCAAAGTGTCTGCTATTCCGGAGGAGGCAGGAGAGCATTGCATGGTGTCTGAGGGACCCTGGAGGGATCTGATTAGCCCCTGATGGTTGGAGGAGTCCCATCTATCTCACATCTCATCTAAAGAGGCTCCATCTGGGACTAGGAAGACCAGAATCAGGTTGGTGAAGGATGGCCAGGCTGGGACTCCAGGGGGGTCTCTTCTGGGTCCTCTGCTTGGGTTTACTGGACATCTGCAGGTCTATGGAGAGGCTCCAATCTGCTCAAATCTCCTACAACCGACCGTTCCAAGGTCTCCGAGAGCCCAGCTTCACCAGGCTGAAGAGAAAGAACCTGGCTGTGGACTTTGTCCTCCCTGCAGCCTTCAGGAACTCATTGAGGGATCTTCTGGGTCTTTTCCCTGCAGGGACTTCCAGCAGCACCAACTTCCAGGCGAGCTCCAGCCTGGTCATGGACTGCGGACCTCTGGTGGAGTCCCTGATCTCTGAGCGATCTTCTGCTGGTCCTCATTCCTATGGACATCTGAAGAAGGAGCCGCTTTGGTCCCAGCCAGCTCCGCTCTCCAAGGTGCTGAAGGCTGGGACTCTGAAGACTCTTCGCAGGTCTAAGCAGCTGCTGGTGGAGGTCGGGGACTACCTGGTCAGGGAAGGCTGTGGGGTGGACTGGGAGAGCAGAACCTTGGAGGATGGCAAGAAACTGAGGAGCACCTTGGAGGATGGCAAGAACCTGAGGAGCACCTTGGAGGATGGCAAGGACCTGAGGAGCAATGAGGGGGTTCAAGGTGTGGAGGATCTACCAAGTTCTGTCCTGAAGAGGAGGCTGGAGTTCAACCTAACCGAGCTGTTCAGCTGGTGGCTGGAGACCAAGGAGGGGAGGCTGAGGATCAGACTGATGCCACAGAGGTCTTCCGCTTATCCTGGAAGAGAGGAGTCCTTGTCAGCTGCCCTGGGAGCCTCCCAGCCCAGACTCATGTTCCAGATCCTGAGGAAGGGTGAGTGCCATAACTTACCTCTATATAATGCCGTGACTTACCTCCAGATAATGCTTTGACTTACTTCCATACATTGTCCCCCTCCATACAAGGTACCCCTTCATATGGTGCCCCCTCCATACAAGGTACCCCTTCATATGGTGCCCCCCTCCATACAATGTACCCCCTCCATACAATGTAACCCTCCATACAATGCCCCTCTCTGTACAATGTCCCCCCTCCATACAATGTTTCTCCCTCCATACATTGCACCCCTTCATGCAATTCACTAATACAATGCATTCCCCCCATTCAATGTCTGCCCTCCATACAATGCTCACCCTTCAAACAATGTCCCCCCCCTCTGTACAAACCCCCATACAATGTCCCCCCCTCTGTACAAACCCCCATACAATGTCCCCCCATACAGTGCCCTCCCTCTATGCAATGTCCTCCCTCCATACAATGTCCTCCCTCCATATAATATCCCACCTCCATACAATGTCCCCCCTCCATACAATATCCCACCACCATACAATGCCCCCCCTCCATACAGTGTCCCCCTACATTATCCCACCATACAATGTCCCCCCTCCATACAATGTCCCCACTTTATAGAATGCCCCCCTCTATACAATGCCCCTCCTCCATACAATGCCCCCCCCTCCATACAGTGTCCCCCTACATTATCCCACCATACAATGTCCCCCCTCCATACAATGTCCCCACTTTATACAATACCCCCCTCTATACAATGCCCCTCCTCCATACAATGTCCTCCGTCCATACACAGTCCCCCCTCTATATAATACCCAACTCAGTATAATGCCCTCCCCTATACAATGCCCCCCAATTTCCCCCCTTCATACAATACCCTCCTCCATACAATGCCCCCCTCCATACAATACCCCCCTCTATACAATGCCCTCCCTCCATACAATACCCTCCTCCATACAATGCCCCCCCTCCATACAATACCTCCTCTATACAATGCCCTCCCTCCATACAATACCCCCCCTCTATACAATTCCCCCCTCCATATAATGCCCTCCCTCCATACAATACCCCCCTCTATACAATCCCCCCCCTCCATACAATGTCCCCCCTCCATACAATACCCCCCTCTATACAATGCCCTCCCTCCATACAATACCCTCCTCCATACAATGCCCCCCTCCATACAATACCCCCTCTATACAATGCCCTCCCTCCATACAATACCCCCCTCTATAAAATTCCCCCCTCCATACAATACCCCCCTCTATACAATGTCCCCCCTCCATAAAATACCCCCCTCTATACAATGCCCTCCCTCCATACAATACCCCCCTCTATACAATTCCCCCCTCCATACAA